ATTTCTTCTATTCAGATTCAGTTGGTTCACTAGTGGTACCAGAAGTATTATTATTAGAATTGGTAGGAGGACTATTTGAATCATCAATATCATTATAAGATCTAGTATTACCTAATAAATCAGCAATGACACCTTTCAATGGTTCCACTTCTTTTTTATCAATTAAATCAAATTCATTAACAAAACACATAAAATGTTTAAAAGCAGTATTTAAATGTCTATCTAAATTCAATTGTTGAGCATCTTTAAAATGATTGTAATACATGTGAGCATAAACTCTAAACATTCTTTTAAAAATAGTTTTAACAATAGTTAAGAATGATTTTGGAAATTTAGTTGGATCAGAAGGGAATGCATTTTCATCATTTACAATATGACAAATCCAATCCATTAATAAAGCAACATATTCAGGTGCAGATAATTTTGTTGCTTTTTTATAATCTTTACCATCCATCCATAAATATTCATATTTATCACCTGCACACATTATTGGACAAGTATCACGTGTACAATTTTCACCTAAACTACCATATAATAAATTTGTAGTATTATAAAAATCAACTGTATTAATAGCTAACCATTCATTCAAATTTTCATCTTGTGGTAATTTGACTGCTTCCGTTAAATCTCCACTTCCAAGTGTTTCTTTTTTATATTTATGTAATGTATGTTGATTACTACCTTTAATAAATTTATGTTTTGGACGAAATGTCTTGTTACGATCAAGTGCGTTTTTTAAATTATTAACAATATTTGACATTTTTTTATATTATTATTATTATGATGATGTGGATGTTATGAATGTTATGATGTGGATGTTTGTATGTTGTTGTAGTTTGTTGATAGAATATTATAATTATTAGTAAAATGTATTATTCAATATGATAATGATGATGACTTGGGGGAATGAAAATATTTTTCAATACAAAAAGAAGGAGTGGAGGAACTTGAGGTAGTGTATTGGTGAATTTTTTTCTAGAGATTTTGATGGCTTTTCATAAAAAGGCTTTTTTCATTTAACATCAATGCAAAACTCACTAGTTCGTACAATATGTGATTTTATTGTTCCGCCCCCATTCATCATAATTATGAATCTTCATTGAATCTTGGTGATTCCTATTTGTTTATCGTTTGAAAATGACTGTTCGTTACTAAAAACCAATCAAAAGTTTATTATTACAATATTCAAATTCATATTATTACAATGAAAATATCTACTGAAATTAAATATTAGTATGATGATAATTCATTTGCCATGGAGCTAATGTATGATTATGATATGATATAATTGATTGTTGTTCATTTTGATTATTTTGTATATTAGCAGATAAATATGGATTAATTTTAATTAATTGTAACATGAATTGTTTAAATATATTTGTATTATTAAATATTGAATATATTGTTTTAATTATATTATTAAATGTTATTGTATTATTTAATATTTTATTTATATTTTTATTATTATTAGAATTATTATTACTATTATTAATATTATTATTTATATTATTATTATTATTATTACTTGTATTGGGATAATTATCAATATTATTATTATTAAATGAATCATTAAATAAATTATTATTATTAGATAATGTATTATCAATTTTACTTCTATTATTATTAGATAATTTATTATCAATTTTATTAATTATTTTATTATTAATATTATCAATTGTATTATTTGTATTACTATTTATATTATTATTTATTTTAGTGATTGTTGTATTTGTTGTTGGATTATTTTCCTTATTATTATTTACATATTTATTCTTATTAATATTATTAACTAAATTATTATAATTTCTAAAATTAATATCATTTTGTAATAATCTAATATCAGTATTATTATTTACAATATTTAATATATCATTTAATATATCATTCTTTATTTTTAATCTATTAATTTTATTATCATCATGTATGTTATCATTGTCATCAATAATTGTATTATCATTATTTAATTCATTTGAAAATATTCTCCTCCGATGTTGTTGTTTATTCATCATTTTCATGATGAAAGGTGTTGTGTTAAAAGAAACAATTTTTTTTAAAAATGTCATTTAAAGATTGAAACTATTTAAAAGTTGAAGAAGGAATTTAATAATCCCTTAATATATTGCAAAAGAGGTAAATATAAAATTTATTTACAACTTGGCAGAAGCCTTCTTGATAGCATTTCTAAAGAGAAGAGATTGAACTCTACCAATAATAGCAGAATCACTGTTAGCCATTCTCATAGATGGACCAGAGAGTCTTTGACAAGCAGCTGGCAAAGTGAAAACAGCAGAAGCTGGCTTTTGATGAATCCAATTGAAGAATTCTTCAATAACATAACCACTACCAACACCAGCAGCCTTAGTAATAACTGAAACTGGAATGTTAGTATTTGGAGCATAGGAAATCTTGGCTTGGAATCCGAAAACCTTTTCTTCATAGACATCAACCTTCAATGTACCACCCAAAACATCAGATCTATCATGATGATTTAATATTAATATAAAAATAATAATATAATAGTATTAATAATGTTAATAAAATTAAAATAAAAAAACAAACCTAGCATAAGTAGCATTTGATGAAATACAGAATGGTTGTTGAGGTTGAGAGAGAACAATAACATTACAAGTACCAGTAACGATGTCATAAGTGTATGACTTCATAGTGTTATAATTAAGATAAACACTAACATTTCTGCTGACTGGTTCTCTTACGAGCATATCAATTCTAGTCAAACCAGCATCAGCATCAACGTACATGGTTTGAGTATCAAAGAAATCTCTCTTTGGTTCAAAAACTCTGACACGAGTTTGGAATGATTTATCAAAGCAGTGTTGGGTTTGAGCACTGGCAAAAACAATAAGGCAAGCCAAAGCAAAGAGTGCGGTAACAATCTTGATCATTTTTTTTTAAGGGGAAAGAATATTTGGTTGTTTTTTTGGACTTTTAATGTCGGAGCCTCAATTTTACAATCAAAAAGACGACCTTATTGACTATCACATACTGCTGATGAATAATGGAGGCAACGGAATGGAATTTGATGCCCTTTTTTGATTGGACTCGGAGCTTCTGATGAGATCCTTAATAAATTTATTGTATAATTAATTAATCAATTATTATTTTTATATTATTATGGATGAATTTAGAGTGAAGAATGAACCATTTTTTGGATTCATTTAAATGAATCCAAAAGAAAGTTGAATTACAGTTTGTTGAAGATATTCGTTAATTTAGTTTGAGTGGAATTATTGTCTTGGCATGTTTTTTCGAAAGATTTTTGATCAGCATAGATCCAGCTTCTATGAGAAACATCTCTTAACATTTATTCATCAATATAAATTGATAGGGCTTTCCAATAGATATCTATCAATCAAAAAAATGTCGTTTAATCAACAACAACAACATGAACAACAATCACCACCTCCAAATCAACAACATGAATCATCATCATATCTATTTAATAATATAATCAATAATAATAATAACAATACACTATCATCATCATTTAATCTTCAACATCATAATACTACTATTAATACCATCAATAATAATACAATTAATAATAATAATATATATTCAAATAATGTATTATCAGAATTAAATACACCTTCCTATGCAAATATAAATTTTTCATCACCTAATATTAAAAAAGAAATTCTATTAATGATTGCAGGTTATTTACATTCAGAAGGTTATAATACAAGTGCATTAACTTTATTAGAAGAATGTCAAGTCTCACAAAAAAAACAAGATACTAACCATTTATTAATTGAACAATTATGTTCTGATATGAGAGATGGTAATTGGAATCAAGTTGATAATATTTTACAAGATTTATTAAATAATTTAAATAATTTAAATAATTCTAATCAATTAAATAATATAAATAATAATAATTCTAATAATTCTAATAATAATATAATAATTAGTAAAAATACAATATATTTAATATATAAACAATATTATTTTGAATTAATTGAAAGTGGAGAATATCAAAAAGCATTTAATATTTTAAATAAAAGAATTAAACCAATTAAAAATGTAATTACACGTGAAGAATTTTCAGATTTATGTTTATTATTAACTTGTAAAAATGTTAATGAAGTTGAAAGATTTTCAGAATTTACTTTAAATCAACAACAAGATTTTTATTCTTTATCTAGTAGTAGAGATTTATTAATACAAGAAATTTTAAATCAAAATTTAATTGATCAATCAAATTATCCAAATTTAATACCACAAAATAGATTAATTGAATTATTAAATCAAGCTATTAATTTTCAAACTTTAAATAATTATTATAAAAATAATTTAAATAATAATATAAATATAAATAATAATATAAATAATTTAAATATAAATAATAATAAAACAATTATAACAACATTATTAAAAGATTATGAAACATTAAATATACCTAATAATTTATTATATACATTTAATGGACATGAAGAAAATGTAAAATCAGTTGAATTTATTGGTAAACAAGGTTTATATTTAGCAAGTGCATCATCTGATAATACTATTAAAATATGGGATACTATTAATAGAAATTTATTATTAAATTTAAATGGACATGTTAATAGAATTTGGGATTTATCATCAAATCAAAATGGTAATTTATTAGCTTCTGCTTCATCTGATGGTACTATTAAAATATGGGATGTTAAAAATTTAATTGATAATATTAATAATAATTATATTAATAATAATAATATAAATAATAATAATAATATATTATCAATTGAACATTTTAAAAAGAATATAAAATCAGATTTATATTGTGTTGAATTTTCATCAACATCTGATAGTATAGTAACAGGTGGATATGATAATATAGTTAGTTTATATGATATCAATAGAAATCAAATAATTAAAAGATTTGAAGGACATACATCATCAGTATGTTCAGTTGTGTTTTCATCAACATCTTCATCTTCATCATCTTCATCATCAAACATCATGTAATTCTAATTCTAATATAATAATAAGTGGAAGTAAAGATAAAAGTATAAAATTATGGGATATAAAAAGTGGTGATTGTATATTAACAATTGATAAACATTTAGGACAAGTAACAAGTTTACAATTAAATCAATTAGGTGATAAATTATTATCATGTTCAAAAGATAATTTAAATAGATTATGGGATTTGAGAAAAATTGATCAAAATCAAAAAATATTACAAAAATATAAAGGACATCAAAATGCATATAAAAATTTTATTAGATGTCATTTTGGTACATGTGAAAGAATTGTAATGAGTGGAAGTGAAGATGGTTTCATTTATATTTGGGATACTTTATCTGGTCAATTATTACAAAAATTAAATTCTTCATCTTCTTTAAATGGTTTAACTGTTTTTGATGTTGATTTTAATTCACATCAAAATTTAATTGCATCTGCTGCTGAAGATACAAAAGTTAGATTATTTAATTATTCTACTACTCATAATAATATAATGAATGATAATAATAATAAAAAATAGACTATTTATTAATGACAGCAATTTATCTCTCAATTAATCTTTATTGAGTTAAATACAATTGGAGTTTTAGAGAAAATTTCAATAGCAAGAATTCTTTATCATCACCAGCCCGCGTAGCAGAGTGGTCAAATGCGTAAGACTTAAGATCTTATCCCGAATGGGTTCGTGGGTTCGAACCCCACCGCTGGCAGCCCCTTTTAATCTCTCATCTCATGCCTCTATGTGATTCCCTAAGTACTAGTTCAAATAGGATTTTATTAATGTATACATACAGGGGGGGTTTAACAGAAATTAATGTTGTGGTGGAGTGAGTAATTGTACAAAGTGTTTTTTTTCTTTTTCTTTTCTTTTACTACATCCCTCCTTGTAAGAATCTAATGGTGTTTCCTTAAAGCTATTTCTCTCATCCAATTTAAAATCGCCAAGAGAAACAAGATATTCACTCACATTATAATGGTTATAATAAGCTGCATAATGGAGACCGTTCATATCTTGTTGGTCCATGTCATCACTTTCAAAATATTCATGTTCAATCAAATACTCAACAATCTCTAAGTTTCCACACAAACAAGCAGAAAGAAATAATGAAAGGTTTCGATTCTTATTAAAACGAGTCTTAATGTTTTGAATAATATTCTTCTTTGCCAAATTCTCAATTTGTTCTGTGGTAATGAATGCAACATCACTAGAAAAGGACAAAATTGTATTTTGATTGCTATTTTCAAGCTCTTTTTCCAATACTGGTTTTCTTAATTGTGCATAAACTTGGTACAATCTTTCGAGTTCTTTCAAGTCAACATTCTTCATATCAGGATATTGTTTTTTGAAAGTGGAATATAAAACAGGAGTGTGATATAAGAGATTTTCAATGTTGGAAGTTCGCAGATGTAGCAATG